TCCATTTACCATTTACCATCATTAAAATCTAAAAATGTAACTGAGAAAACAACAGTAAACACTGCCCACAAATGACTGAGGCTAATTATTTGTTATTGTTCTTTTTTATAATTTTTACATTTTTTACATTTTATATTTTTTCTACAACAGTTTTAGATGATTTTCACTCACAATATATCTTTAACTTTAACTTAAAACGATCCTTATCTTTCCTTCTGTGAGAAGATTACAGCTGGATATCGATCCTTAATACTATTTGAGCATTCACCGGAATGAGTCTGTAGCATCATACGTCAAACATTGAAAGCCAGCACTGGATGTCTGGAGTGTTTACTCAGGTATCGGTTCTTTCTATCAGGAAACTTTTCTAACTTCAGAGGAAATTATATCTGGCCAAAGTTCTGTGTTTATCCCTGATGCAGCAGTCTGGGGTTAAAACATATTTCTTTGTGAGTACTGGTACCGAGGCTCAGCTATCACATTGACACAGTCAAATGATATCCAGTACAAGACACAGTATACGCTCAGTTTATAGCAAACAGTCCTCTCCACACCTTTGAAGGGATTTGTTGTGCTCGACAGGTCAATACATAAAACATGAACACATGAGTTAATGGGAACTTTTTGGTAAAATGCTACTTCGACAACAAGAAGCGTTATCACTCACCAGCATGCAGATGTCCATAGGCAGGTAGACTTTCCGTCGGCTGCTGTGATAAGGAGTCGCTCTCAGACACGTCACGATTCCCTGAGCTTTACCGATGTGACTCGCTGCGTGGTCAGCGTGGACATTTTTCAACCCTGCAAAAAAAACAAAACAGGAATAAATTAGTTTTATTTATCTGAATTCTCCTGTTGAAAATAACAAACTAAACACATCCTCAACAATTCTCACCTGCCCTTACCTAAACTCTCCAGCAGCAGGTACAACAAGGAGGACTGTGTGTTCTCTGAATACGCCTCCAGCTCCTGGAGGTTTCTGTAGGCTCGGTCATCCAGATCCTTCTCCTGGTGAGACAGACAGTTTTGATGACGTAAAATACTCAAAGTAAGATATTTCTCAAATGTTCTATTGGACAAGACACAACCGAGTCAGAGCAGTTGTTTGTGATTGCAACAGTGTGGCGGTATATAAAGAATTAATATCATACAGGACATTTAACTGGGTATATCACAGTTCTACGAAGGCTCTACGTTGCAATCTATGCAAGTTACCTACGGTGCAGTGAGCATTTATACTTGTGTGCTGGTGGTCTGCATTGCTCTGCAAATAACACTGAGAAAATGCTAGCTGGTGGAGGGCTTTCTATGCTGACACTGAAACTCTCTCTCCTTGGTTTGTCTTGTTTTTTCCCCGCCGCCTGTGAAAGGAAAGGACGAGTGGACAGACGAGATCATGTGGTGCAGCGAGGCAGCGTCCACTGTGTGCCTGTCTGTCTGTCTGTGTGTGTGTGTGAGGAGAATGTGTGTATGGTTGAAGATTCTCAGCATTATTAACTCATTTGGGTTTTGCATGAGTCACTGGCACATACAGACACAGACACACACCAAACAGACCAGTCACAGCGGTCGTGGCCTGCGTGTAGTTACATTTCTGGGGAGGTGGATTTC